TGATTGGTCACAGGAAGTCTGATTGGTCTCAGGACGTCTGATTGGTCACAGGAAGTCTGATTGGTCTCAGGACGTCTGATTGGTCACAGGAAGTCTGATTGGTCACAGGACGTCTGGTGATAGGAAGTCTGATTGGTTACAAGGCATCTGATTGGTGACAGGAAGTCTGGTGACAGGACGTCTGATTGGTCACAGGAAGTCTGGTTGGTCTCAGGAAGTCTGGTTGGTCACAGGAAGTCTGATTGGTCACAGGAAGTCTGGTGATAGGAAATCTGATTGGTTACAAGACATCTGATTGGTCACAGGACGTCTGATTGGTGACAGGACGTCTGATTGGTGACAGGAAGTCTGATTGGTCACAGGACGTCTGATTGGTGACAGGAAGTCTGATTGATGACAGGAAGTCTGGTCACTGGAAGTCTGGTCACAGGAAGTCTGGGCCTGTTGCAGAACGTTCTCTGATGTGTTTCAGGACGTTGCTGCTTTTGGCTCAGTGTTATTCTGTCTGCAGAGAAGACTCTCATCACCTGTAACACAGCTGCACTCTGATTGGTTGAACTTATGGACTCATAGCAACAACCAGGTGCATCATCAGGTGCGTCCTCAGGTGTATCCTCAGGTGTGTCCTAAGGTGTGTCCTAAGGTGTGTCCTCAGGTGTGTCCTCAGGTGTGTCCTCAGGTGTGTCCTAAGGTGTGTCCTAAGGTGTGTCCTCAGGTGTATCCTCAGGTGTGTCCTAAGGTGTGTCCTCAGGTGTGTCCTCAGGTGTATCCTCAGGTGTGTCCTCAGGTGTGTCCTCAGGTGTGTATGCTGCAGACTGGATGAAGTGACTGAAGGACACAGCAACATTTTGATTTGAACTTTAAAGCTCATCTCTTCCCCGCAGGTGTTACCCACCTGTGCCCACACCTGTCTCAGGTGTGACGAAGCGGTCAGCATGTTGTTAGTCAGCAGAACTGAGCCGACGCTCCGGCGCCCGCCTCTTTCTTCTTCTACTGTTTTTATTTTGTCTGTCTTGTTCTTGTAGATGAGACTTCTGTATCAGCAAGCTCTGCAGAACCTGCCGCTGTGTGCCGCCCTGTGGAAAGATGTAATTCCCTCTCTGTGACACCACACAACAACAAACACACAACAACAAACAAACACAACAACAAACACACAAACAGCTGTTTACCCTGCCCTCTGACGTCTGAAACAGAACTTCCTGTTAAAACCGACCAGGGAGGCTTTTGTTTTCTGTGGTTGAACTTTATGATGAGTCAGTATCTTACCTGCAGACTGAACTGTTTTCGACTCACCTGTGCACAGCATGTTTACCTCCCCCTCCCCGTGTGTCCTCACCTGTCTGCCCCTCCCCCTCCTCTTTACAGTGGCTGCTGTTTGAGGCAGCAGAGGGCGGAGCCTCAGAGCGCTTGAGGCGACTGGTTGATCGCTGTCAGCAGGTGGGGGTCAGCGTGAGTGTCGGGGGGGCCGATCTGTGATCAGACTGATAGTAGAACTAATCTGACTGATTGACGAGGTAAGGCCACGCCCCCACCCCGCTTCCCCCGCCCCCTCCCACCGTGTCTGTAAGTATCAGCTGCTGAGTGCCGCCTTTGCTCTTCATCACCTTCTCTTTAGTTGCTTTCACCTTTCAGTTGGACTCATTTCCCTCCCTTTTTATTTCACCCACCTGAGACGAAGGGGGCGGAGCAACAAGCTCCACCCCTCAACCCTCCCTCCTCCCACCACACACTTTTTTTTAAATGTTTGTCAGAAGAAATCAGGACTTTTTTTTTTAATCGATCAGTATTTGATTGAGAATCCGTGCGGAGCGCGGCCTGTTCAGTGTTTTCTGATTGGCTGAGCGAGTGTGAGACGGACTGCCACGGAGACGGAGGACGCCGCCACGCTCAGCCGGACTGCTCAAGTGCAATCTGTTGACACGACGACTAAAGAGACGCTCGTCACACTGCTGCTGTTTTTCTACGTGACAGATGTTAATAAATTATTTTATATGAATATGTAAACCAGTGTGCAGAGTTTTTATTGGTTTGAAAACAGAGATGATAAATAAGTGTCAAGTTTATCTTTTGAATGACGGGGGAATCAAAACATTTTACAATTTTTTATTTTTTGGGGGGGCGGGGCTTATTTTTATTGTTCCTGATTTTACATCTTTTATCTTACACCGCTTGACGTTTGTAGCACTTTGAGATTTTTATTAATAGAATAGAAAAGAAAAGAAAAGAAATAGCATTTTTTCCCGCCGAGGGGAAATTCAGGCGTCACAGCAGCGTCCTTACGAGGTTCACACACTAGTTACTTTACAAACTACAGACAGTGCACAAAAACAAAACTAACACTAGTTAGCCTAGTTAGCCACTAGACTAGCCATGATACAACTACTAAAAATAAAAATATAAAGAATTGTGCAAGAATAAAAAAGATATGTTTTAGAGACAGACTATCAGACATTAGGAATCAGAATTTGCCCGTTTTCACTGCAAAATAATCGTGTTTGTGTTACATATTAAATTCATTATTATTATAGAAAACTAAAAACATTCAAATGTTTTGTTACTCTGAACACAGCTGCTTCCCAATTACCTTTGAACTTTACACAATATACTTTCTATGACCCCTCATTGCCAACACATTATTGTAATTATATTCTAATATATCCTGTAATTTTCATCTACTCAGGAAACGTGTTTGGCTTTTAGTAATGTAAATAATCTATTAATCATCCGGGTGAAGTTTCATTATTTTTATTTTTTCATTTCATGTTTATAAATGCAATTTAAAAAGTAAAGGTTGAAGTTACACAGACCGGACAGCAGGGGGCAGGACGCGCTGAACCGGACATGATGAAGAAGAAGAAGAAAAGAATTCAAGATGGCTGCCACTCGCAACAACGGTTAGTAAAAACTCCGGTACTTTAACTCTTACTAACAGTTATATGTCTGTTTATTTCACTTAAAGTGTGGCTGACACGTAATACGTTTCAATGTTTATAAGAAGACATGTTTTAACGCGGTTTATGTGCGCGAAACACCGCGTTATTGTTCGCATTAACGGCGAGCTGTACGATGCCAGTGCGCAAAGCCAGATTTAACGCATCCGCACTGGTATTTAAAGGCTTCATGAATGGTCTTAAACCGTAATAATAATAATTATTATTCTTAAACCTTTATGTGTTGAATGAAAACTCAAAAGAAAAGAAATAAGATATGAAAATGAAACCAAATAAGAAATAAAACGGAGAAAACTCGAGAGAAAACAGCAATCCTCATTCAAACTTCTTCAGATCTTTTGTTTCCTTATTTTCATGTTTGTGTATCTCTACAAGTAAAACACGTGTTGTGAGGACAGAATAAAAAGAAGACAAATTGTAACCGCGGCTCGTATTGAAGGTAAAATAACTTCACTAGTGATGTGCAGATCGATACTGAAATATCGATACTACCTACATCAGAACTTTATGTTCTAGAATCGATACTAAAGTCAAAATATCGATACTCTGATGCTTTAGTTATTTCACATAATGTATATCATTAACAGGAAAATAACTAAACTTCAAATTTTGTCAAAATTATGTGTGGTTGGAGGGAACTATTTTTTCTTTCACTTGAGTAATTAATACATCACACGATGAGTTCAGTCAGTCAGTCTGTAGATGTACGGCAGGTCATTTTAACATAAAATCTGTTTTGTCTGACAGTCTGTAATTAGATTCCAGATGAGGGGTTCCCAAACGTTTTCATGCCACGGACCCCCAAACAGCATCAGCTCCAGACAGGAACCTTCTTGCAAACCAACAAAAAATGCTACAAAATATACAAAGTAACAACTTTTAGAATACTTTTCCTCACTTTTATTCACTATTCAAAGATTATTATATTTCTTTAGAATAAGAATTTTAAATTGTGCTAAACAAATGTAGGGTTAGGGTTAGAAAGACTTTAAATTAAGTAAATTACTATGTCGTGTAATATTTAAAAAAAACACTACTTTTTAAGATTTACGACACATTCTGTGTGTTATCGCAAAGTATCAGAATCGGATCAGTATTGCCGATACCAGACACATTTTACTTGGTTTCAGTATCGGAAAGAAAACTGGCGTATCGAACATCACTAAACTTCACAACTGAGCTTGCGCACTAGTCCGTCCCCAAAATGGGTCCGACTGGAAACAATAAACAGAACTGCAAGGCAGCACACTGTTTTTTATTATTATTACTATTTTTTTATAAACCTTTATTTGAACAAATGATTAGTACACAACAAACAAATGAATGAATGAAGCATACAGAACGCAGCACTTACAAAAAAGCCAGGGGTATTAATTAAACAAAGATTTGCAAATAATTACATATAGAGATCATCTTAATGGCCTTTTCATTGGAAGAATCTGTTATTGAATGAACATATATGTCTCTTTTAAATTTTACCATATAGTGTTTAGCAGAGTAAATTTTATGAAGAATTTTAAACGACACTTCACTTTATTTAGAATTAAATATCTGTGTGGGATCATCCAGACGGTTTTCCAGTTGCTATCCGGGAAAATAAAAAACAGTTTGTAAACGGACTATTCTGTGCCTCATGGTTGTGTTTTTTAAGGCCTCGATAATAATAATATTAATATTAATAATAATAATAATAATAATAATTACTAGACATGGGTTTTTACAATGTAAAAACAAGTGTGCATTGCCATGTAGCATGCCTTTGCCTGCAGCAGTGGACTTGAAGAATGAACTTTGACCAAGTTCAAATGTGTTTTCTATACCAGCTTGTGCCTGTCATGTCAGCAGGTGTTTGTAATTAAGGTAATTGAGCGACAATATGAAGTTTGAAATCCCAGGGATTGGATTGTATGTATACAGAAAAAGTTTACCTTGCCAATGCAATTATTGACACTTAAGTGCAATATATTACATCAATAGGACAACATAAAGACAGTATTACAGTAAAACATCAAAATACAATCATATTAATACTGTAATCACTGAACTACTGAGTTTAAATAAAATAAAACTATGGTGCACTACCATATTGTGTAGATGCAGCAGGGGGCAGTATTGGACCAATACAAGGCTCTATTGACTGCCATTATAATTTATTAAACATTAATATTTCAAAAACTATGAGTTTTACAGGCACCAAAAGGCATAGCCATCATTTGGCACAGGGGCTTTACAGATATAAATTACAATGGCAGCTCTAGCACAAAGTATGCAGGAGGAGAAGCATGGCAAAGTTGAGTTGACTTGGATGGAAACTAATCACAATAGTTTGCATTGCATTGGCAATGCACACTGATAATAATAATAGTAACCAAAACAAAATCCAAAATGTTAATAAATTTGTTGTTAACTTGTTGGTTTTCTTTGGTCCAGATGAGTGCAGTTACATTGTGGTTGAAGCGAACAGCCCATCATCGTCGCTGCTGCCACAGAACGATGGCTTTAACAGGAAGCAGACCCTGTTTTTGATCGACTTCATCCGTCAGCTCGTCACGACCGACGACGGCCCCCCAAAGAATCTGCAGGAGCTCAACGCACGGCTGAAAACAGCCAAGTCCAATAAAAAGGAGCTGTGGAAGGAGGCGGCAGAAACCCTGGAGGACCGGTTCAAGCAGTGGTTCTGCCCCGCCCGAGTGGCCAGGAAGTGGGGCACGCTGGTCGACGGCTACAAGAAGGTGAAGCGGAGCAGCAGAGCGACGGGGAGGAGGAGCATTCGCTTCCAGTACTACAACGAGATGGACGAGCTGATAAAGGAGCCGGACGAGGTGGTCATCCCGGTGGTCGGGACAGCTGAGGGGCTGCTTGTGTGGAAACCCGAGGTTCTGGATCAGAGCGTAGACGCAGCTCTGGCAGGTACAGCTTTCAGCCCGACGACCCGCCCCGGAGAGGAGCCGACGCCACCCACACCCGCTGCACCCCTGAAACGCCGGCGGGTGGACGAGGAGATGATGGAGCTCCTGCAGCAGTCAGAGGAAGCCACCCAGCGGCGGCACCAGGAGATGCTGGCCCAGCTCAGGTCCGCCCAGGAGGACTTCAGGACCTTAATGACCCAGCTGCTACAGAAACTTTAACTTCATCCTTTTTGCACATTTCCAGAACTTTTGTCTCGTTCAGAGCTGATGCAGTCGAGCAGCAGGTATTTTACACACCTGTTCTAATATAATTACCTGACTTTGATACTGTGTGATACTTTTATTTTGTTAATAAACTTATTGTAATATTCACACTGAGGCTGTTCTCTCATTACTTCACTTGTTTTATTAAAACTAAAGTAGAACAAAATAACATCAAATCTTTCTACAGGTGAATAAAAGCTGCTTCTTATGTTGTTACATTTCTACACCGGCTGTCAATATTCAACTAAAAGCAGGGACGTGTTTTTTTTTACAAAATAAACCTTTTTTAGTTTTAATAAAATTTTATTAAGCTCTTTTTAACAGCAAAATAAATAATAATAAATAAACAGATTCCCTGACAGTGAGCGAAGATTAGTTCCAGTTTATTAATTTCTTCATTTCTTAAAAAAAAAACTAAATAAATTCTATTAACAATAAAGACAAATCACAAATAAAACAGGAGACATTAGAAAGAAGAAAAAATCTTATATCTGCTCTTTTTTAATGGTTAGTTTACATATAACAAAAAAAAGAAATTCTCGAGCAACATTTCTACAGATGCACATTATGTTTCATATTTCTGTAACAAACTTTGATCATTCTCTAAACATTGATCTGACATTTTAACATCTCTCTCCAGATTATTCCATAATCTTATTCCTTGGATTGAAGAACACCTCTCCTTCAAACTGCTTCTGTATTTAGGTTTTACAAACATCCCATTTAGATTGTAACAACTCTTTCTTAACAGAATTTAATTGGATATTTAAAGGTAATATGTTTTTAAGAGCCTTATACATAACCTGTAAAATATTATAATTAACCAAATCACAGAACTTCAATAACTTCAGTTCATAAAATATATTTGATGGTGACTGTAATGTTTTAATAACTCTTCCAGCTCTTTTCTGTAAAATAAAAATAGGATTTATAATTGTTTAACAAGCTTTACCCCAGACTTCAATACAATAGATGAAGTGTGGAACAATTATTACATTAAACATCATATACAGAGCTCTATAACTCCATCCGTCTGTTTTCTTCCTCTGATCCAGGGTCAGGTCTCGGGGGCAGCAGTCTCAGCAGAGACCCAGACTTCCCTCTCTCCAGACACTTGGACCAGCTGAGAAACATAGTCCCTCCAGCGTGTCCTGGGTCTTCGTCTGGGTCTCCTCCCAGTGGGACGTGTCCAGAACACCTCACCAGGGAGGAGTCCAGGAGGCATCCTAACCA